TTCCTTATATTGTAAAGCGCTGCACAAACTGTTGGTGCCATATAAATCCCTTATAATAATACACTGCCCAAAATCCAGGTGGTGACTTTTTTTGGCCAGTGTACAGTATATCTCCTTTTTTTTTGCTTGGCATTTTTACTTTAATTATTGAAAAAAGTCCAGTGCTTCATAATACGCTGAGTCTTCTGTTTGTTAATTCCCTCAAGCTCTACTTTTCATTTTGTATCTGATAGGTAGACAGATGAGGACAATCAAGCCTGTTCTTATTGTAGACACAGTCACAAGGCTTTCTCGATTTCCTGTGAAATTCATAGAAATGATTGTAGCTTTCCACAAAGTATAATTGGTTGCGCAGCATATTTTTAAATAAAAACTCAAATCCCATTAAGCTATACATGGCCATCGCCCTTTGACCTTTTAACCACCTCCCGTCCGCTGGCCGTAGGTAAACAGCCGGATGGGTACATTATAGGAGCGGGTGTGCTCAGCGTGCACTTTTTGGGGAAACTGTCAAAAATGTAAACTGCCAGCGATGGCTGTTTACATTCAAGCGATCGGGCGTCTCTAGAGACGCCTGGTCGCTTGTATTAGGTGCGGTTTGACACCCCCTGCAGCTGTCACCGCCGTCGGTCCCGAGATCCTCTGTGCCCGGTGCGGCTGGGACCGGCACGGCTGCTCTGTGACAGGAGTTCAAAAGGGTGATCGGTACACGATCTCCCTCTAATCTCCTCTCCGGTCCCTGAATGCAGGAAGTGATGTATATTACATTATTTCCGCATTCAGCTGTCATTCCCAGCTACAGAAGCTGGGGAGAAGCTGGTGAAGCAGTGGTGATTAAATACCACCAAAAGAAAGCTCTATCTGTCACCAATAAATGATAGCAAATTAATTTCAGTACAGCGTTACATGACCCTGGTCTTTAAGTGGTTAATACTTAAAAAAATCCTTCAACCAATTCTGTAAACAAAAATCACTTTCCATGGTGTTCTATGTGGAATCATTTAAATGTTTGCCTTTATGGGTTATCATCTGAGAGGATCGACAAAAAAGCTGAGGAACCCTAATCAAATACGTTCTCTGTTCTAACCCTGTCAATATGTGTGAAGTAAATGAGCAGGGCTTGAAAAAATCAGCTCGTCACAGATGAGCGGACGGCGAGGCGGCGGTTGTAAATACACGGCCGGCCGGGAGCTTTACATTCAAGCGATCGAGCGTCTCTAGACGCCCGATCGCTTGTATTACCAGCAGCTGTCACTGCCGTTGACAGCTGTGCCCGTTGCGGCCGGGAGCGGCCTGGCTCTGTGACAGGAGATCAAAAGGGAGCTCAGTACACGATCTCCCTTTGATCTACTCTCCAGTCCCAGAATGCTGGAAGCGATATATATTACATCACTTCCTGCATTCAGTGTCACTTCTCTCGGGGTCCCTAGGTGACATTAGGGGTCTTGGACACCCCTGATGTCTTTATAAAGAGGACCTGTCATGTAAATTGGCTATCACATAGGGGGCTTCTTAGCCCCCCCCCCCCATGTTATAGCAATAAAGTTGTGTTAAAAAAAAGATACAAAAATTAAAGAATCATAAAGAAGCATTAAAAAAAAATGTTTTAAGTCCTCCACCCCCCACATACAGATGTGCGCCTACGTGCAAAAACGATTACGCCTATTGTGCCACACATGTTGCATATAACCGCGAACGTCGGAGTGAGCAATAATTTTAGGGCCATTAATTACTGATAACACTAAACTGATGAGCCGTAAAAGCCTTTTAAGCGTCGCCTATGGCCAATTTTCTGTGTGGTCGTTTTTTGAGATTTTGCGGGCGCACGCAATTTTAAGGCTTGACATGTTTGGTGTCTATTTACCCGACGTGACCCCGTCTTTTATCAAAAATATGGGTAAGAATAGATGTTTTATAACATAACGTAGGGAAACTTAGTTTTTTTTAAATTTACTGTACTTTTTTGATTATATAGTAAAAAATAACAACCCCCCCACCCCCACTGGTGATTTTATATACCACCAAAAGAAAGCTCTATCTGTCCCCAAAAAATGTTAACATAAATTGCAAGGCTATAGTCTCGTCATGCTGACTGGTGACATTTTTGACTGGTGAGACACCCTTACATTTTTCAAGCCCTGTAAATGTGTGTTTCTGATAGACACATAGGGGTGTATATGTCAAAATCTTCTACAGCCATTCCTCCTACAAAACTGCATGTGCATTCATTATGTGGCAATGGAGCCAAAAACAAAATGTTATAGGTATATTCTTTCCAGGTCAAATGGAATATCAGAAAAAGAATGCATTATGGTCACTAGACAGAGCTGAGGATAACGGGCAATAAATATGTATGATCCTCAGCTCCATCTAGTGGCCATAATACAGTATTTTCCTGATTAATAACATCAACCTAGAAAAAAAACAACATACTAACAACTTTCATTTTTGCCCTATTTGCACAAAACAAATGTACATACAGCTCTGCAGTTTGAATGGCTTTGCACATCTTTTCTAAATACAAAGAGGGTGATTTATCAAAACTGGAGCAGGCAAAATCTGCAGCAGTTGTACATGGCAACCAATCAGCTTCTCTTTCATTTTCAAATCTTAACTGAACAAACTGGAGAGGAGCTGATTGGTCGCCCTGAGCAACTGCTCCAGATTTTGTCTCCTCCCATTTCGATAAATTCCCCAGAAAGTATTTACGGGTGCTGGGTACTGGACGATTACAAGGTAAGCAGAAGCGTTATTTGAGGAAACACGGATAAAACATTTTCATGCTTTTTTACTTAGTCCAGAGTCCTTATTTATTTAGTAAAGGAAAAATACTTTATTTACAATGTAACTGCCTCATATAATGTAAATGTTCCTGTATACTGACTAGAATAGACTTGTTACAAACAAGTATATTTGGGCAAAGCCAAATCGATGATATAGAGACAAACATTGACATGCCTAAGGGAACTTCAAGACTATGACTACACGTGGCACTGTCAATGTCAATGTTCTTTATTTTGTTGTTTTTAGCAGTGTGTTCCCCGTTGGCCATGATCAAGAGGCAATACAAGTCTCTTTCTGAACAATACTTCATTGTTCCATGGCTACAATATAGGAAAGTAAGTAAAGCAAGAAGAGACATTCCAACTGCTTTAGAAAAAAACAACGGAATAATAACTTTAGTACATCCCACTCTGTATGTGTACTGTGCTTAAATAAATATTTCAGCTGAAACCGTTAAAGAAACTGTAGTGGGGCTGCCCCTCCCCCCCCCCCCCCCCCCCTCCGCAAGGGTTAAGTACTTATTTTTGTCTGTCAAAAAACAAAGTGATACTAACCGGAAGTTCTGAGTCGGCCAGATGTCGCATAACTCGATCCAGCCTCTCTTCATCCTTCGCTGCAGCATTGGAATGCTCCTCAGCGTCCTAGTGTCTATACACGGTGTATAGACGTGATGATTTACGGGACCTTAGACTGCTGCAGAGGAGAGGGAGAGAAGCTCTAGGGATCAGCCGAAGATCAAGCCGGCTTAGAGCATCGGGTGAGTATAACAAAAATGAGCAGTTAACCCTTGCAGTGCAGGGGTAGCCCCGCTACAAGAGTTCATAAAAAATGTTTTCCTGGAGTTCTTCTTCAAAGCCGAACTCCAGGCACACATTTATAAGTACAATGAGCTGTGTAAAACAAAGAGTTAACTCTCACAAGGTGTATAATGCCTGCAGGATTACTGCCCCTTCTTTAATATTTAGTTTCAGTAATGCCTGGATAGTACAGCTCTCGCTATAGTTCTGGCCCACTGCGTCTCTCAGTGTTATTCAAACACCTCCCTCTTCCCATATACAGTCACACAACACTTTGACAGCACATTTTAATCAAAAGGTTGGCTGGAGTTCTGCTTTAAAGGGTATGTGAACCCTAACAATGAACTTCTCTTATTTTCTTCCTTTTGTTCTGTTAGGCAAATATCATCTTAACCCTTATAGTGGGGCTTATTCACCCCAACCACGATCCTGGCTGGCTCCTAGACCAGTACCTGGAGCCTTGCTCTCCCTCTGTCCTGCAGTCTAAGGTACCGTGATTTATCACATCCTATACGGTGTATAGGACATGAGAACTCCTGGAAAAATTCTATTGCTGGAGTGTAGGAGTTAGGCTGAAGGGACCAGTCTAGGAGCCAGCCAGGATGGTGGTTGGGGTATCCCTGTATTTTAGCTCCCCAGGGAAAATGAGCACTTGACCCTTGCAATGCAGGGGTAGCCCCACTGCAAGGGTTAAGATTTTATCTGCCTGGCTTTTTGCTTTAAATATACTGTTGAAAGCATTTTTTCTGTTTGATCAGTGAAAAGAATACCTGTTGATTTTCTAAGAGATCTTGTAAGCAGGCAATACCTGTGCTGCAATCTTATCAGTTACATTGCTCTAAGAACTACAAAGCCCTGTTCATTTCTGTTAGGGAAAAGAGGAGAGGGGGAGGTTTCAGTAATCCCGTCCTGTCGGGTGATATGCTTTAACAGATCTTCTTTCTCCCCCGCCAAATACATATGTAAAAGTTTCTCTCAAAAGTAAAGCGTAAATATCTTTGTTCAGGTAGAACCTGTATAATGCAAAATACTCACTTTACCTCTCGTTCCCCAAGATACCTTGTGTTCCCATGAAAACTGGCCAACAGTGCAGTGAAGCAGAATCCGCACCCCATACTGTATCAAGTAAATACAGGAGCAGGTATGGTTATCGGATGATTTAGCGGCAAAGGTGGGGGGATAGAGCTAAGCAAATACAGCACAGGATTGAGCACCAGCAGTGGAGAATAGGGTAAGGTGGGACACAGCACCTGAAGGGGTTAAGTGCTTCTTGACAATATACTTGCATGTTTGTATACTGCAACCTTTAATGTATTGAGCCACGGAACTGTACTGATAACTGCATCAAAATGAGGAAAATGGGCTATTGAGTAAAAGAAAAGTGTACATCGTAGCCAGTAGTACTCATGTCTGAAAGGTCATATTTTGTAGACAACTGGACAAAGAGCACCTAATATCTATGAGTACCTTAACACCTATATGATACCACTAGCTTTAGTACATACCAATTATCTTCAACTTGTTTTGATGCTACATCTGTGTTCATACAAATCCATAGCCACCAATTAAGACAAAATATTAAATAAATAAGAATATCCATAATACATAAAACCACAGTCCTCATCTTCCAGGATTACACGGGTCCCTTAGTTACAAAAAGCTGTAAAGGCTTGTCTTCAAAAACACCATCAGCATGTTTCGGTGAATAAATTCAGATATCCTTCAGGAAAGATTAGAGATGCCACTTGGTCAAGAAGTGTACATGTAAGTTTGTCTTTAGGATAAGAAAAAACTCCTTTTAAAATGAGAGTTCCCAAATTATTTGTGCTCCTTAGTGGGTGCGTAGTAGAGTTCCATGGGTTTATTTACCTTCCAGTACTTTTCACTGACCAGTTCCAGGGAAAATGAGCCATTTAAAACCTGAAGTGAAAACATTTCATGTTATTTCCATTTGTTATTAAAGTCATTTTCATTTTTGTTTATTTAGCAATTTTAAGATGCTCACACATCGTACCATCAAAACACGATATTAGGTCATTCAAAAGCAAATAAGGAAACAATCGCAATGCAGGAGGTGATCATTCCATTTGTATTTGCCAATTTAAATAAAACATTCCACACAATCATAATTAACTAATTCATAACATTTATAGTAAATACAATAGAACATATTAATATGATGCTACTAACAAACAAACATGTAATTGCCACTGGATGGTATTAAATACCTACAGGGCTATTCACAAAAGGGTGAAGAGTTTGGAGAAGGCAGGGGAAGTGAATAATCTAGGACAACATAGCTGAACCGGAAAGTGTGCTGAATTGGAGAGTTTTTCTAATCAGCTATGTTGTCCTAGATTGTTCACTTCTCCTGCCTTCTCCTAACTCTTCACCCTTCTGTGAATAACCCTGTCACCAGTCTAAGGTTCACAAAGATTATTCAGTTCTTTCTGGATCTTTGAGTGGATATCTGCTGCCATCTAGTGGCAATTATATGTTAATGTAGACTATTACATATATATATAAACTGGTCCTATTGATAGTACACTCAGCATTTTAATACTTATTTTATAGATAATTATTATTACAATAATGTATACATGTTTTTCTTTGTTCATGTGATTAAACAGGAGTTTCTCTGATGCCTGCATGTTTGGCAGATTTATTTTTGCAGTTAAAAGGAGAACTATGGGGTCAGGGCTTTTCCACATAGTTCTCCTAAGGGTAACGGGAGGACAAAAACTAGCGTCCTCCCGTTACCCAAAGCTCAGTATACCGCGAGTCACAGCTCACGGTATACTGAGACGCTGCAGCCAGAACGGATTTCGATAATGCTGTCTGGATCCACCCAGCTGCGTGAGTGACAGCTGGCTCTGCCTATCTAGAGGCAGAGCCAGCTGTACCTGCCCCCTCCCCGTCCGTTCCGCCAGTCAGCGCTGGAGGATTGGACAGGGAAGGGAAATCCCTGCAGGGAACAGTGAGTGACAGTCACGGCTCTCTGCAAGGATAGATCGAGAAGTGAGCGAGCGACGGTATGTGTTCGCTCACTTCCCGATCTACTGAGCCGACCTGTGACAGTTTCATTCTCACAGGTCGGCCCAGATTATGAGGCTGAATGAAAATCACTTGTCTCATAAATTCTCCTTTAAGAGACATCAAATCTCTTTTCAGTTTAAAATAGCGTATATGTATTTCAAATATATGTTTTGCCGTTTGCCTGGAGTTCCCCTTTAAAGGCTCATTTCACATAGGTGTGCAGAGACCCGATCCTAGGAGGGACAGGTGTATAAATAAATATACTGGAGTTTTAAAAAAGGGCTTAAATAGTAGTTACATTAGTAAAAGAAATGGAACTTTGGACTTCTTAAAGCGGACCTTTACCCAGATCAAACACTCCTTTAGAAATGTTTAGTAATGACAATCTACAAACACATGCTTCTAGATAATTGCCGGCTCTGTATTCTTTGCAGACCTTATTTCTATTTTTCTTCGCAATCTTCTGACAGTGGCCATGTTTACTAAGGCCAGGTTACTGGATCTCCTTTTACTTCCTGAAAACTGGCACATGTGACTAGGGCATGTGACCATACACATCATCTCAGGGGAGGAAAATGCCTTTCCCTGAGATGAGATTTCCCAGCAATGCCCTGCTGATGACAAGGCAATCCCAGGATGCATTGCTTTGGCAAACCGAAGTCATTTTGCCCTTTCAAAGCAGGAAGTGAAAGCTCTGCAAGTGTAAGTATTTCAGAATCTCAGCATTTTACACCTGACATGTCTATGTTATTATAAATCATCATACATAGAGGGATGCATTGATAGAATTTGATTTTGAGTGTAAAAGGTCCACTTTAAATGAAAGGTTAGAAAAGCTGTGTATGTAGTTTTTGGTTTGGGGTTGTCTTCTTTTAATGGGGGGGATCTTAGAGGTGGCTTTTATTACAATAGTGCTTAATTCACATGTTGAAATATAAACAAGGCTAGTATAAAGATCTACAGGGTAATTCACAAAAGGGTGAAGAGTTTGGAGAAGGGAGGAGAAGTGAACAATCTAGGACAAAATAGCTGAACCGGAAAGGGAGCTGCTTTGGAGAATGTTTCCAAATCAGCTATGTTGTCCAATATTGTTCACTTCTCCTGCCTTCTCCTAACTCTTCACCCTTCTGTGAATAACCCAGCTAGTATTTTATTCTAAGGACTGTAAAAAGGGAACAGGATATCAGCTTAATGATTTGCACCAAAACAAGCAGGAGTTGTGGGAAGCAGAATTTAGTAGACATGAGTCTTTTTTCTACCCTAATAACTGACGCAAAAATTATTTTTGACAATTAAAAAAATATCAAAAACAGGGAACTTAATCCCAGCAGAGAATAATAGGTCCTCACTTCTTGAAAAGCTCAGGTTTTGACCTAATGTAAAAAAGTGAGGGGGTTGGCACCAGCAAGGACCACCCCTAAGCTGAACTTTTTTGTACCTAGTGGCCCGCGCCTGTAGGTGGCAGTATAATCCAACAGTGAAGAAGAGAGAAAGCTATGTTTGTCAGTAAATGAAAGAGAAATACAGTACTTTTTAAAAAAAATGTCTTTGTACATGATTAGGTATTACTTGCCAAGTATATTATCAAGTGAACATGCTGTGCTCCTTTAGCAAATTTAGGGTCAGTGTATATAGTACAGGTGTTTGGGGGTCCTTGGTGTGCCAATACATTGGAAGCTTTCAATGGACAAGTGCAAGAATAGTGTAGTGGAGGAAAGCACAGGTGTAGCGGTGGTCAATGGAGAGGTGTGTGGATGCAGAGCAGAAGAGGGCAAAGCAAGAGGTTTACGTAAACCCCTCTCTTCTTTCTACTAATCACACACAGCACCTGTCCTTCCCGGGAGCTGCTCGATACGGCCGTGCACGCAGCACGGAGCTGTACATGCCGGCCTTTTCTCGTGTGAATGAGGCCTTAGTGAGAATCCTCAATCAGCGACAGCTTTAACATTTTAGTTACAATTAGTGTTATGTTTATTTATCACATTAAACCTGGGATCATACAGGTGCCAATTGCAGAAGAACATCGTGTAACCATACATTTTATAGCCAGCTGTGGCTCAAAAATAATGATAGAACTATCATACGACAGAGCACCACTTGCCAACCACCTAAATGTGCCTATTATTGAAATGAGCAGCAGGTTAAGAACGTCACCCTCCAAAGAAGCTGTTGCCTGCATATTATTTCTGTCTGATTATAACTCAGTTTGACAAAAGCAGCATCGGGAGCAAGCAGAAATCTATTATGAAGCAGAAATGCCACTAATGTTTTGGTGAAAAAGGCTAAATTGTTGAGAATATCCATTTTTGGAGAATTAATGGGATCTGGATTTACATGCCAGGGGTTTTTCGGTTTGCATTAACCTTTTATTAATTAAGGTTGGATTTGTGTTCTGAGGTCTGCCTGCTCAGCTCTAATAATCATGGTGGACGGTAGCACTACTTTGAATACCACTGAACACTATCCATGAAGGTAAACACAGAAGACAAAATACTCACTGTAAATTGTCCATTGGCTGTAGCAATGTATATAGTATACTGCTTTTCACTGGCAGCATTCAGATTCATCTGGTTGGTCTCTCCTTTACTCCGAAATTCTTCAAGAGCCAATCTCACAGCAAGGTACTTAGATAAGTGATCAACTGTAGCATTTCCAGAAGTCTTTATGTACCTTCAAGATAAGACCATAGGAAAGTGATGTCTATGTGTTTATACATTTTAATTTGGTGTATACTTAAGACTCATCTCTTCAGGGAAGCCTATACCACCTCAACCTAACCACTGAACTATCACATTCTCAAACAATTCATCCCCACACAGCTACCTCCTCATGTATCACTTCCCCCTCTCTTTTAGATTGTAAGCCCTCAGGGGCAGAGCCCTCCTTACCATCTTGTCTTGAATTGTATTGTAATGTCTTCCTTATATTGTAAAGAGCTTTGCAAACTGTAGGCGCTATATAAATCCTGTATAATAATACTGTATACACACATACAGTATATATTACCTGACAGTTGTTAACAATTCTAAGACTGGTCTCAAAACAAGATGATTCAAAGCTAAGGAAGAATCACACGCCTTCCTGTGATGGTGTTATTAATGTAAATATATTAGAAACCCGGCCAATTAGAGCAGAATTGTGAGTACAATTCTGTTCTGTATGCACTGAGAGCCCCATTGACATCACATAAAGAAATATTCAGTCAGATAGTATCAATAGCCTCCTTTTTCACAGTTGTACCCTATATAGCAGTTGCACGGTGTGTTTAAAGCTGATTTTTAGGCAGATATGAAATACATAAACAATACAGCTCTGTATTAATTAAGACATTCTTAATGTATGAATACATGTAAAACGTTTTTAGATTTTAATAGAGTAGGGAGTAGTGAGGGGTTAGGACCTTTGTCAGGTGTGTGTGTGTGTGTCCATTAGGGAGATTTGCTCTAATTGTCCTGATCACTAATGTCACCGGGAATGACGCTGAAGGCAAATTCAACATTTTGAACTGCCACCAGAACAGGAAAGGAGGGGAGATCTTCAAATGGGGACACTTATTCCCCTGACAAATGTCTAACAGGGAATACCCCTCACATTGAAAAGATATACCATTCTTTTCCTAGTGAGTCTACATGACAGAAAGTTAAGGGAAAACTTCCTGAGATACAGATTGCAGAAAAAAAAAAGAAAAAAAGAAAAGACTGTGGCTTTAATTCTCAGGACTGGACTAGATAGAAATACAAATCCTTTGTCACATAAAACAGCTCCCTTATATGCATTTAATCTGTGTATTTAGCGGTGTATGTGGAGTTCAGCTTTAAAGATGACTAAGCAGTCCAAAAAGCACCAGTGCTAGGCCACTCTGTCCTAGGAGTGCGCAATGCCTATCACAAGACTGCATGTCCCGGTTGCTGGGCAGGTGTTTTTTATTCTACATTTAGCCCTGCTGCAGGCAAGCAGGGCTAAATGTAGAGCAGGGGAGCCATTTTGCACAAGTGTACAACGGCCCATATCACTTGTAAGCAGCCTGCTTGTACGTAACCTACCCCCCCACCCCTCACTGTGGTTTTTGGGGTCCACGCTCTTGTAGGGTTACTTCAGAATAGAGTGCGGAGAGCAGACCGGAGAGCCACTTTCTGATCTGCTCTGTGTGAACAGTGAGAAAGGAACGCTGTTCTCACAGACTTCCTGTCTAGCTGCACAGGAGATCGAGCACAATGCTGTGCTTGATTTCCTGTGTTGGAGGGCAGGTTCCATAAAGAGAACCTGTCACTTCCAAATGCTATCACACATGGGCTTGTTAGGTCCTGTGTAAAAGCAATAAAGTTAAGTGGAAGAAAAAAAAGTTTTTTTAAAAAAGGAAAAAATAATAACAGTCCTCCCCTCGGCCGGGATGGGTGTACTATCTGTACCCCGTACTGCCATCCAGTGCAGCCCGGCGCTATGGATTTTAAATGGCGCTTGCAAAATTGTGAGCACTTGTTGGTCAGAGCAGTCACCTGACTGAGCTGACAAATAAGATGTGCTTCTTAGCACGGTTAAATATGGCTTTAGGTAAAATGATTTTTTTGTATCACAAGAAGTAGATTGTCATGAGGGACAAGTAGCTTGGGCCCCTACTTTAGTCCTTGGACAAGTAGTTTTACTAAAACTTTTCACACCCCTGCTGTCCAGTGCACTCTAACTGATCTGGTAAGATTCACCCCACTCTTTCTCTACTAACTGGGCGTTACTTATCTATGCCACCAAAGAACAACAGAGTGGAAGGGCAGCAATCAGCATTTGCACTTGAAATCAGTTAAAAATGATAAAGCTGGCCAAACATTTGTCAAATTTTGGCCGAGTCCTGCTCACTGTAATAGAAATTTTAGCAGTGTGTGGCCCTGTTGGCACCCCCTACTTCTGACAAAAGTTGGGGGGTTTTAAGCGACGTTTTTTCCAAAGCAGATGTGAAAATGTTTGGTCGGACAATGACTATCAAAAGCAGGCTGGCAAGAAGCTTAAAATTATACAGTTATATCAATAAAGCCACAAATTACAGGAAATGTTTTTTTTTACCGTATCTGAGCATTATCATCTTTCTCCATTAGCGTTGGGTGAGGTCTAAAGACCAACTCTATCTCATTGGATCCATCCAACACAGGATCAATTGTTACAGTCTCAGTGTTTGCATCCAGCTCCAAGCCAGAATCGTCAGATGTTTTTGTCCTCTTGTTGCTGGGTCCGGCTTCTTGATTGCTGTGTACAGAAGCATTACTGCAGTGGGAACTGTCTACATTATCTTCAGCTCCACTTCCATTTTCCACTTGTTGCTTCTTTCCCCTTTGTAACCTACAATGCAATATTTATGTCTGTCACAAATCTGAGTTTTGCATCTGTCAAAGTATGTTCTATGACAAACCATAAAAGATCAGTGTTTTGAGAGCTGTCATGAAGAGAAAATGTGAGCTTAGTCCCTTCGGAATATTTGCAACAAGCAAATGCTATGCTAGAAACTGACTGAGCACTGATATCAGTGATGACAGCAGATGAATAGCACTTGAGTACTCAATTTACTTTAGCAAAACACAATAAAAAACAAAATCAAATTGAGTTATTTTTCTTTTAGCGAGTCAAGGGTAAAGCTAGTTAAAGCTGAAGTTTGGACAAACAAACACTTCATTGGGGCATTGACTAGGTACCAATAAGGTACATTTATTGATATGTGGCTAAGGGGTGGCTGCTGCTTCATTTAAAGATTTAAAAAAAATTTAGTACATGCATCCTCTGACTGTGATATGAAGTTCTGGCTGTAAAAAAGACAATCAGGGCTGAAACACAGTGGTTACACTGAGATGCTCTGCATATTCCCCATTCATATAATACCCTGTATTCTTTTCATTTCCTGTGATTGGACAAGGGTAGATTGTGATGTCCTTATAGCCCTTTTCTAATCGCAGAACACTTTGGGGGGAATTTATCATAGCAATTGTGAGTGTTTGAACTTGCACGGAATATATTTGATGCACTTTGCGCCAGATTTATGATGCAAGTGTAATGTTGTTCATAAATGAGGTTTAACAGACTCCAAGAAAGAAGAGTTTTAACTTCAGGCAAAAGCTTAACTGTCACTCCTTGAAGAAGTGGTCATGGGGACTTCTTAAGTTGTGATTGTTTTGTTAGGTGATGCTCCAGTTTCAGACAGCCCAGAACAAGTGCAGATGAGCACAAGTGCAAAAAATATGCAATTGAAAAAGTAGTGCAAGCTCTGGTCAAAACAGGGGCACATGTTAATAGACAGATTTGCACATTAAAAAAAATGGTGTAAGAGGCTAAAATGGTCGCAATTGCTCTGATAATTCCCCCCCCCCCC